AAATTTGGGGCCGTTTCCTCTTTGTGAGTTGATTTTCCTCCTTCCGACGCTTCCCCACGCGGCTCTGCCGGGCCCTTCCATTGCCAGGCTGCAGCCCTGAGTTATTTGAGGCTCTGGCAAGGTCGGTCCTAGCCCCGGGGCTGCTGGCTGGGCTCGCCCACCCGGGGCTACAACCCTGGGGGGCTCGCTAGCCCCGCTGCTGCCGGAGCCGGTGGGGAATTGGGGCGCAGAGCGGCGGCAGGCTCCGCTTTCGGCAGCGGTCGAGGCTCTGCGGGCTCCGCGGGGGCTCTCCGTGGCGCGGCGGCATGGAGCGTCCCCCGTACCACGTCCCGGGCTCTTCCCTCGCCTTTCGAGGAGGGACGGGAGGATCCAGATGGGGTGGAAAGGTGGAGGGTGGCTAGCGAAGGGCTTGGCAAACTGGCCCAGCTCCTGCTTGCCGGTCCCAGCAAAGCACCCTTCCTGCAGCGGCACGGGTGGGGAGGCTGGGCTGAGCCGGCACGCACGGGCCCTCAGGAAGGAAACTGCCTGCCCGGGGGGAAAATGTGACGCTGGATCTTTCCCCCGAGGGTCCGGCTGCCCCCGCGGTGCCTCCTGAATCCCCCCCAGCCCTAATTCTGTTTGGGCTGGGGCGAGCCTTGGGCCGGCTGCTCCGGGATCGCCGAGCGGTGTCGGCAAGGAAGGGCTTGGGCTCGTGTGAGCGATGGGGTTGTGCCCTCCTGGCACGGCACGGCACGGCACGGCATGGCCCGGCTGGCCTGGGATGGGCTGGCAGCCCTGGGGCCAGCGGTGCAGCTCCGACAGTGGCGAGCCCCCCCCCCCCATGCCCGGGCTCTCCCCCGTCCCCCCCAGCAGCCAGGCTGGAGGAGCTCAGGGAGCAAATGGGAGCACGTGGGTTTGGGTCGTGGGTGGCATCAGCCACGTCCCTGCTGTTCCCGGTCTCATCCCCAGGGAGGGGAGAGGAATAAAAATAGGGAATAATCAGGGCTGTGGGACTGCCCCAGCTCCCTTACTGGTGCGGGGAGCGGCGGCGTGTTTCGGTGTGGCTGGGCACCAACCACAGCAGAGCATCCCCCGGCGCGGCATCTGCCTGCACCCATGGGTGCCCTCCCCAAACTGGGGGGGCGCGCTCCCCGCCCCAGGGTCTGTAGGACCTGCCTGGAGGTGCTCCCTGTCCCTGCAGAGGCCGGGGCGGGGGGGGGGGGCTCATCCCTGCAGGGAGGGACGGGCAGAGGTGGGGACAAGGAGGGGTGCGTGGGCAGCACCCCCGTTTTGGTGCCTGCGGCTCGGAGAGGGCCGGGGTGGGCTCCGTGCCGTGGCTCCAGCCTGGCCGGGGGGGGTGGGAGGGGACTGTCCCCTGCCACGGGGACACGGGGTGCAGCAGGGAGGAGGGGGGCTGCACCGGGTGGGCGCAGGGTGGGCGCATATGGCAGGGGTGGGTGGCAGACCAGACTCGCTCTGCTATAATTACTGTCGGAAACGCCCACGGATCTCCCGGCTCTTCTTCGTCACAAACTCGCAGGGATTATTTTCGCCTCCCCTGCAAGCTCGTGCCACGTGTCGGGGCCGTGAAGTGGAGCCGGGGGCCCCCCCCTCCTGCCTCCGAGGCCGGGAGGATGCTCCCAAAAAGCTGCCTGCCAGAGCCAGCCTGGCCAGCCGGCCGGGGACCACATGCTGGGGACCACGGCAATGGGACCATGGTGCTGGGGACAATGTGGCACGGCCCACATCCTGGTGACCACATCGTTGGGACCATGATGTTGGGGACAATATGGACCATGATGCTGGGGACAATATGCCAGGGACCATATCCTGGTGACCACATCGTTGGGACTGTGATGCTGGGGGGACAGTATGGCACAGGCCACATCCTGGAGACCACGTGCTGGGGACCACGGCATTGGGACCATGGTGCTGGGGACAATGTGGCACGGGCCACATCCTGAGGACCACATCGTTTGGACTATGATGTTGGGGACAATATGGTCTGTGATGCTGGGGACAATATGCCAGGGGCCACATCCTGGGGACCACGTGGCAGTGACCACACGCTGGGGAGCATCTACCAGTCACCACGTGCCGGGGCTGCAGTGCTTGGTTCCCTCCTCCTCCTCCTCCTCCTCCTCCTCCTCCTCCTCCAGCCGTGGGTGTGAGGAAGGTTTTTGGCGGCGATGGCCCTGCATTTCCCGGGGGCCGCTGTCCTGACGCCAGCGCCGGTGGCTGGGCACAGGGCACGTGGCGATGGGGACGGGGACGCTGGCTCGGCCAGCACCTCGCCGTGCCGGGCCGGTGACATTGAACGTGTCGGCCACGCAGAGGCTCCGCTAGTGCCGCGCTTCTCCGGGCTGGATTTCCTCCGGGGAGCAGGGCTGGCGGAGTGATTTAATTCGCACTGACTGCAGCTGACCTTGGAAATGAGCCGCTAGCCGCCCGCCGTCCACGCTGGCCGGCCTTGGGAGGGAGCGAGAGCCTGCTGTGGGACCCATGGGTGCAGGAGGGAGGGGGGGGACACCACCAGATCCACCCCCCGCTGCGCCGCAGTGGGTGCTGGCAGCTCGGCACGTCGCTCTCTCTGCGCCCGGGAAGCGTTTTGGTTTTGGAACCCACCCCCCCCCCCCGCCCCTCTGAGCTGCGCCCGGTGCCCCACGGAGCCGGGGTGCTTCCCCTCCGGCTTTGGGTGCCTGCGGGTGGCACGTGGGTGCAGCTGGGCTCGGCGTGGGTGCGGAGCGGAGCCCCGGGGCTGGGTGCTGCTGCTCGCAAGTGTCCCCTGGTGCTCCTGGGCTGGGGGGTCCGGGTCTGCCACGGGTAAAAGTGGGTTGGGGGGGGGGGGGGGTGGGGCGCGGGGCCTGGGCTGAGCAGCTCCCCAAGAGTGGGTGTACGGCTGCGGGGGGAGTGCAGGAGGGGCCACAGGCGGGGCTGGGGGTGCAGGAGGTGGGGTTGGGGGTGCAGGAGGTGCCTGAGCTGGGTCTGGGGGTGCAGGAGGTGGAGTTGGGGGTGCAGGAGGTGCCTGAGCTGGGTCTGGGGGTGCAGGAGGTGCCTGAGCTGGGGCTGGAGGTGCAGGAGGTGCCTGAGCTGGATCTGGGGGTGCAGGAGGTGCCTGAGCTGGGGCTGGAGGTGCAGGAGGTGCCTGAGCTGGGATTGGGGGTGCAGGAGGTGCCTGAGCTGGAGCTGGGGGTGCAGGGGGTGCCTGAGCCGGGGCTGGGGGTGCAGGGGGTGCCTGAGCTGGGTCTGGGGGTGCAGGTGGTGCCTGATCTGGGTCTGGGGGTGCAGGAGGTGCCTGAGCTGGGGTTGGGGGTGCAGAAGGTGCCTGAGCTGGAGGTGCAGGAGGTGCCTGAGCTGGGATTGGGGGTGCAGGAGGTGCCTGAGCTGGGTCTGGGGGTGCAGGAGGTGCCTGAGCTGGGTCTGGAGGTGCAGGGGGTGGCTGAGCTGGGGCTGGGGGTGCAGGAGGTACCTGAGCCGGGGCTGGGGGTGCAGGGGGTGCCTGAGCTGGGGCTGGGGGTGCAGGGGGTGCCTGAGCTGGGTCTGGGGGTGCAGGTGGTGCCTGATCTGGGTCTGGGGGTGCAGGAGGTGCCTGAGCTGGGGTTGGGGGTGCAGAAGGTGCCTGAGCTGGAGGTGCAGGAGGTGCCTGAGCTGGGATTGGGGGTGCAGGAGGTGCCTGAGCTGGGTCTGGGGGTGCAGGAGGTGCCTGAGCTGGGTCTGGAGGTGCAGGGGGTGGCTGAGCTGGGGCTGGGGGTGCAGGAGGTACCTGAGCCGGGGCTGGGGGTGCAGGGGGTGCCTGAGCTGGGGCTGGGGGTGCAGGGGGTGCCTGAGCTGGGTCTGGGGGTGCAGGAGGTACCTGAGCCAGGGCTGGGGGTGCAGGGGGTGCCTGAGCCGGGGCTGGGGGTGCAGGGGGTGCCTGAGCTGGGGCTGGGGGTGCAGGAGGTGCCTGATCTGGGTCTGGGGGTGCAGGGGGTGCCTGAGCCGGGGCTGTGGATGCTCTCGGGAGTTGATTTTCCACTGGTGAGCGTTGCCTCTCCGAGCGCGAGCCCCGGGGGCACGGGAGCGCCTTTGCACGCACCAGGTGCTGCAAAACGCACCCGGGACCTGAGCCGGGGGCTGGGGGGGGGGGCTGGGGGGGGGGACACACACAGACCTGCGAGCAGGGGTGACGCCGCTGTGGGAGCACCCCGGGGAGGGTGCGGAGACGGGAACGCCGGGGGGCACAACCTGGGCGCCTGCGTCCTCGCTGGCGGGTCCTCGAGGTGCCAAAATCGGGGTGCCAGCATCACCGGGGGGGGGCCTGCTCCGTGTCGCAGCTCCCCCCCCTCCCCCCCCCGTGCGACCTCCCCCCCAAAGCAAACTGGGAACCTGATCCACGCTCTCACCCGTGAGCATCCCTGCACCCCCCAGCGTGTCCCGAGCCCTGGTGCGGTGGGGGATGCGGAAGTTGCGCCCGTCCACGGCAGGAGGAAGCTGAGCACCAGCCGGGTGCCACGGGGCGAGCCGGCAGCCGTGGCCCCACGGGGACGGCGCAGCCGGGGCCCCGCTCCACGCCGGGATGGGGGGCACGGCCGGTTCTCTGGGGCGCCCGGCGCTGCTCCCTGCCTTGCCAAAGCCTTTTTTGCAAACTGGCCTCGGCGTCCCGGTGCCGGCCACGCTGCTGCCAGCCGCGGCTGAGCAGGGAGCCGCGCTCTCCTCCACCTGCGGGCTCCTACCAAAATGCAATTACCCGTAAAGCCGGTGGCGTCGGGGCTGGCCACGCGCCCCGGATCCCTGCCACGGCTCCCCGGCACACGGGGAGCTCGCCGGCGTGCCTGGCAGGAGCCGGGGATCCCCGTGGCATCTCCTTCGCCACGGAAAGCTCCTGGTTTAACGTGCCCGGCCCCGGCTCACCCGCTGGTGTTGCGTCGCTGGCAGCACCGTCGGGGGGGGGGGGGGGGGGGGGGGCAGGGGGAGGATGGGGGTGTGCGGGGACCCCCCGGGCTGGACGGAGCTGACCCCCACACCCATCTTGTCTTGCCCAGGTGAACGTGACGGTGGACTACATCCGCCCGGCCAGCAGTGCCACCGAGACCGTGCCCGCCTTCTCCGAGCGCACGTGTGCCACCGTCTCCATCGGAGGAATGTAAGTGTGGCCCCGGGGAACGGGGCCTGGCGGGGGGGGGGGACACACACACCGAGACCCCACAGACCTGCAGCCCCTCTGTGCTCGCCGCCCCACCTCCAGCAGTTTGGCCCCCGAGCCCGGGGAGTTGCTGTGGAGGAACCGTCTTGCTCGGGTGCGTCCCCAGGACGGCTGTCCTCTCCCAAGGGACATCGCCTCCCCAGGACGCGGGGTGGGCTCTGCCAGGGCAGCCCCCCCTTGCCCCCCCCCCCCCCCCCCCCAGTTTCCACACCCGGGGCAGGTTCAGTGACCTTCCTCCCCGGGTCCTACGGTGAGATCCTGCCTGCGAGGCGCGCGTCCGGGTGGCAGCGGCTCCGGGAGCTGCGTAGGGATGATTTCTCATAGGCCGTTTGCTTCCTTGATTTTTTTTTTTTTTTTTCCCCCGTAGCAGCTATTTTGGAAAGCGACCAAAGTGCTGCAGCGCTGCGCTTTTCTTTCCCTTAATCCAAGGCCTGGGGAAGCTGCGGAGCATCGCGTTGCACGAGGGGACGTGGCACCGTGCCGCTTGAAAGCTCCCCGTCACCCCGCTCCGGTCTAATCAAGGCACTCGTGGAGTGACCTTTGGTGACGTTTAGCTCACGAGTGGGTTTAATTTCCACGCCAGCGGCAAAGGAGGGATCCAGCCCTACCCGTGCCCGGGCTGGGGCTGCTCCGTGCTTGCTGCCGGGACGCTGCTCCCGGGGTGAAACGGCAGCAGCAGGAGCCCGAAGGGCTTTTCTGGAAGGAGATTCCAGGCGCGGCGGAGCCCGGCGGAGCAGCCCCGCGCTGCCTGCCCCACCTTTAAACCCACCCGTTTTATTCCGTGGCGCTTTAACCGCATCCCCAGGGAGCTGATTCTCCAGCCGAGTGCGTCTCACCGGGTTTTCGGGAGGGACAGCCCGGCCGTTGAGTTTTTGGGGCTCCTTGTCGGAAGGTGAGGTCCTGGGTCACCGGCGACGCGCAAGGAGGAAGAGCGCGCGGTGCAAAAACCGCGCGGCGGCGGGGCAGGATTTCCCATCTCGGGAGCGTCTCGCCCGAGCGCTGCCGCCTGCTTTATAGCGTCTCCGCCTGCGAATTGCTTTCAGATCACCTCCCCGGCCGCAGCCCCCTTTTCGGGAGAAAAACCTGACGTGAATTTGCAGGGGAATTCGCGTCGGCTTCGCCGCCGGAATCGGGCGTCAGCGGAGGGGGCCGGGCGAGCGCCTGGAGCTCGCCCCGGTGCCTCTGCGGCGTGCGAGCCTCCGGGCCGCGGCGTGGGGCAGCCCCCCACCTCCCCACACCTCCTTGCTCCCGGCGCTGCGGTTCGGTCCTTTAGAGTTTAGGCCTGAGCAACAGAGCAGGGTCTGTGCCGTGGGTGCCGCGCCAGGGACGGAGCCGGGAAGAAAGCCTGGCTTGTGTGCCTGGCATCTGGGCTGGGCTGAGCCCTGCTTGGCAGGCCGAGCACGCTGCCAGCTCGCTGGGTGCTACCCCCCCCCCCCCCCCCCTTCCCTTCCCCCCCCTCCCCGCCTGGCTTCTGGAGCTTTCAGGTCGTGCCGAGCTCGGGGTGCTCTTGGTGCAGGCAGCTGGCAGCCCCCTGCCCGTGCTGGCAGCGGCGGGGGGAGCCGGGCTAAGCCATCCGCTGCACCCCTGGGGTGGCACCTCTCCCTCCCCGAGCGTGGCAGGAGGATAACATCCACCCTCAGCGATGGGGAGCCGGGGGGGGGGGGGGTGGGGGGGGACAGTTACCCACCCCCAGCATCCGCTCTCCTCGAGGTGGGGGGGTCGTGGAGGGCAGCAGAGCGATGCTGCTCGGGGACCCTGCCCGGCGCGCAGCTCAGCCCCCTCTCCCACCTCAAACCCCCCCCCCATGGGAGCGTGAGGAGCTGGAGCACAAACTGAGCTTCTCCTGCCTGACCCGCTGAGGGGGCTCCGGGCTGGCTGTGCCCTCGCTGCGTCCCTCGGCGCTTCTCCCAGCTCCCCGGGGTTTCCCGGTTTGCTCCCAGCAGCGCGGCGCGCCCCTGTGCTTCTGTCAGCGGTGACCGGCGCTGCCGCTCCCGCCCGGTGTTTCCCTGCCGAGCCACGGGCGAGGTCGGAGGTTTGGGCTCGGCGGTCGCAGCAAAGCCGCGCCGGCACGGCGAATGGGCTGGCGGAGGAGGCGGCTGCCGGGACGTCGGGAGCCCCACGGGCACCCCCTGCGCCGGGCCGGGCCGCCGGCGCTGTCGGGAGGGTTGCCCCAGCACCCCGGGGCACCGTTAACGCGGAGGCACCCACCAAAGTGGTGCCAAAGGGCCCCGGGGACGATGGGGCAGGTCCGCTGGGAGCAGCGGGAGCGGGGGATGCGGCGGGAGGGCTCTGGGTTCACACCAGCTTTTGCTCTTTGGGAAGCCCGTGGCAGCCCGCGGGAGCATCCCACAATATCCCACGGCATCACACGGCCCTCCCGTGGCATCCCACAGCATCCCGTGGCATCCCACAGCATCCCGTGGCATCCCACAGCATCCCGCAATGTCCCACAGCATCCCGTCACCTCCCCACAGCATCCCGTGGCATCCCACAGCATCCCGCAATGTCCCACAGCATCCCGCAGCATCCCAGTGTGCCCCACAGTGTCCCCTGGCACCCCGCGGCATCCCACGGTATCCTGTGGTATCCCATCACATCCCGCACTATTCCACAGCATCTGGCGGTATCCCAGCACCATCCTGCAGCATCCCACAGTGTCCAGCAACATCCCAGCAGCATCCCACAGTATCCCATCACATCCAGCAGCATCCCAGCACATCCCACACCATCCTACAGTAGCCCACAGCATCCCACAGCACCTCAGGGCACCCAGCAGCATCCCACGGTATCCCATCATATCCAGCAGCATCCCATCATATCCAGCAGCATCCCAGCACATCCCACAGTATCCCAGCACATCCCACAGCATCCCAGGGTACCCGGCAGCATCCCGCAGCCTCCCAGCCCATCCCAGCCCATCGCCGCGTGTCCCAGGGCACCCAGCAGCACCCGGCAGCTCACGGGCAGCCGGCACAGTGGGTGCTGCTGTGGGACAGGGGGGACCCCCGGGGTGCCCGGCTGGGGGGTGGGTGATGGTGTGGGACGGGGGGGGGGACCCCCGGGGTGCCCGGCTGGGCTTGGGTGCTGCTGTGGGACAGGGGGGACCCCCGGGGTGCCCAGCTGGGGGGTGGGTGCTGCTGTGGGACAGGGACCCCCGGGGTGCCCGGCTGGGGGGTGGGTGCTGCTGTGGGACGGGGAGGACCCCCGGGGTGCCCAGCTGGGGGGTGGGTGCTGCTGTGGGACGGGGGGGACCCCCGGGGTGCCCGGCTGGGGGGTGGGTGCTGCTGTGGGACAGGGGGGACCCCCGGGGTGCCCGGCTGGGGGGTGGGTGCTGCTGTGGGACAGGGGGGACCCCCGGGGTGCCCGGCTGGGGGGTGGGTGCTGCTGTGGGACAGGGGGGACCCCCGGGGTGCCCGGCTGGGGGGTGGGTGATGCTGTGGGACGGGGGGGACCCCCGGGGTGCCCGGCTGGGGGGTGGGTGCTGCTGTGGGACAGGGGCGACCCCCGGGGTGCCCGGCTGGGGGGTGGGTGCTGCTGTGGGACGGGGGGGGACCCCCGGGGTGCCCGGCTGGGGGGTGGGTGATGCTGTGGGACGGGGGGGACCCCCGGGGTGCCCGGCTGGGGGGTGGGTGCTGCTGTGGGACAGGGGCGACCCCCGGGGTGCCCGGCTGGGGGGTGGGTGCTGCTGTGGGACGGGGGGGGGACCCCCAGGGTGCCCAGCTTGGGGGTGGGTGCTGCTGTGGGACGGGGGGGACCCCCGGGGTGCCCGGCTGGGGGGTGGGTGCTGCTGTGGGACAGGGGGGACCCCCGGGGTGCCCGGCTGGGGGGTGGGTGCTGCTGTGGGATGGGGGGGGACCCCCGGGGTGCCCGGCTGGGGGGTGGGTGCTGCTGTATGACTGGGGGGACCCCCGGGGTGCCCGGCTGGGGGGTGGGTGCTCCCCAGGGCACCGCCGAGAGCCCGGCTCCCTCCCGGGGGACGCGCCGGGGTGCGGGGGGGTCAGTGGGGTGCAGGGGCACCCCGTAATCACCCAGCTCAGGCTGCGGGGGCCGGGGCCGGGGCGGGGGGGTTGTGGTTGTGGTGTGGCCGCCGGGCCGGTGGCTCCCGGTAGCTGTGGGGCCGATCAGCGTGTCCCGCTCCCTCCCGGCCCCCACGCTGCGTTTTGGGGCTGATTTGGCACAAACGGTGAGTCTCGGCGGTGCCGCCGCCCGGGCTGGTTTTGGCGCTTTGGTTTTGGTTTCGGCGAGAGCCGGCCGGGCGCTGCTGCCTGAAAACACCGATCAAAAACCTCCTGGGGGCGGGGATTTGTGAGGAGGGGGGGAACTGAAATGAGTTTGGGGGGTGCGGGGGGGACCGAGCTCACAAATAGCTCTTTTTTGCTTCACCGTTCTTTAAGTGGCAAAAACTATTTCACGGCCTAATCAGATTTTTTTCCCAGAGCAAAGAGCTTTTCGTCTGCCTTTCCATATTCCTGTTTAATCTGGATTTAACTTGGGGGGGGGACATTTTCCCCCCACGCGGCAGCTCCCGCTCCTCTCCCCAGATGCTTTTATTTGGTGGGGGGGGGAGGTTATTCTCCCCGCTCCCCCCTCCAGCAGCAGGGAGGGGGGTTGATTCGGCTGCAGCGCACCCATCCCTGGGTGCTCAGCACCCAGCCGCGTGCCGGGATCGGCCCCCCCCGCGGGCAGCGCTGGGATTTCTCAGCCTGGAAAGTTCTAAACCTGGAAAAAAAATGGGGGATTGTCCCAGGATTTGCAGCCCTGGGAGCTGGGGGCACGGCGGGGCAATCAAGCAGCAGGATTTCGTGGCCGGGGGTGTCAGTGGATTGGGATTTTGTGTTTGGGGGTGTCAGTGGATCGGGATTTTGTGGCTGGGGGTGTCAGTGGATCAGGATTTCGTGGCCGGGGGTGTCAGTGGATCGGGATTTTGTGGCTGGGGGTGT